CCGACCACGCAAGAGACAGGCCCTGCCCTGAAGAGCCCGCGGCTTAGAGAGACAAAAGAAGGAGAGACACTGAGAGGAGAAGTTTCTCATTTGCATTAACACCGGAGAACGAGGCATGCAACCCAGGGCTCTGACTCCCAGTCTAGTGCTACAGTGTCTGCGTGACACCGGTGCTGATAGGGTCCCAGTTGCAATCCTGGAGAGAGTACTGGGATTGGATGGATGGAAGGAAGGAAGAGCAGCAGTTGGAGGATGTGGGCTGAGAGCTTGCTGTCACTGTCCAGCAGTGCCGCGCTGCCGCTTAGCAGGTGCAGCCGATGCCCGAGTCTGCAGTAAGACGTGGGCTGTTTCCTGTGATACGACCTAGACCAGCGAGCACCAACCTTTTGGCCACAAATGAGCCCCGCACGCTTCCCCAGTGCCACTTCAGTCCCCTTTCCCTGCCTGGCCTGCTGCCGTGTTTTCTGCTCTCTGCCTTCTCTGCTGCTCTGCTTTCTGTTCCCTGCCCTACCTGCCACCGTGCTGCCTCTTCCCTCCCCAGTCTGTCACATGCCACACACACAGGCTGCCCATGGCACAGGTTGGTCATCCCGGACCTAGACCATCACTGTTTTGTACCCAATCCTTCAAGCAGGACTTGCCCTGACAGACCCTAGCTGTAAAACTCCTCTGTGCAATTAGACAGAACATTAGAGCTTGGTAACCTTGCCTGTTCGGGGGTCAGCGAGAACCAGGAGCCCAGCACCGATTGCGAGAAGGCTTGGGACAAGACATCCCCATTAAGTGCTGAGTGTTACGATGCTTCCCAGAACCCTTTAGAGCTGCTGTCTGCCAGGGCCGCAGGCCTGAGCTTCCCAGCCACGGTCCTGAACATCCCTGGACTGCTGAGGCACCTGCTCAATGCCAAGGCACGGGCCCCACCTGCTTTGTAAGCAGCACCGTGGATTAGTGCCCGGGCACTTCAGTGCAGGTTTTGTAATAAATGCCTGCTTCTGTGGTCCAAGGGGTATTAATCCCCACTGCCCAGGCCAGGCTGCACCTGGCAATCAAGAGCTAGGACTGAATGGGCCAGGTGAATGCTGGGTCCCTTCAAGCCAGCTGCTGTTGGGCAGCGCCACGTGATGAAGGACCAGTGTTTGCTCAGGGTACCACAGCATGCTCTATCAACAGCTGCTTTGCTTTGCTTTGCTTTGCATGCTTTCTGTAAAGAAGGCAGCATTTACTCCATGTCTAGGTGGCTGCGATGAGGAGGAACCATGGGCGGCTTCCTCTTAAAATAACCCAAGCCCTCCTGGTTGAAAAGTCACCCTCCGATTTTGATGACGGTGTCAACTCATTCGGTGCCATCTGCCTGCTGTCCCCCGTGCCTCTGCTGTCCTTAGTCTTGCTGGTTTTCCAGTGACCCTGACCTGGCCAATGCTGTAGCATGGGGCTGTCCTGAGCACTGAGAGAGGCAGCACCTGGGTAGCAAACAGCTGGCGAGTCAAGTCGTGGGGCGAATGCAGACTGAAGAGGGGGGTTGGCAGAGGCTTATGCAACAGTGATTGCCATAGAGAAGGTAGATGCAGTTCTGCCACTCTGTTTTAAGGCAAAGAGCTTAGCAAGAGTCCAGGAAAGACCTGACATCTATATGGACTGCAAAAATGAGTGCTGGTTATGAAGTGGGTAAATGGCAACTGGGTACATAGGAAGGAAACTTTTCTGGGAATGGTTGCTGTTGATTAGTTCATGATGCCAGCTTCCACGTGCCTTGCTATATTTTCAAACGATCCCTGTGCTTTCTCCCTGCTGCCACTCATTCTGTTCTTACCACCGAGTCTGCCCTTTGAAAAGCTTGACGACAGCTCAGCTGCCAGCGTGACGATACCTCTGCCTGCCACGATAGCCACCCTTGGTCGATTTGTGTTCCTGTGCTTCCCCGTGTCCGCGTGTCTCCATCTCTAGGCTCTTGTGCTGGAAGTGTAAGTACTTCTGGTTCTCGGCACCGTGTTTGTGCAGGAAGCGGTGGAGACTTGCGGTTTCTAGGTGTGAAGAGAATACAAAAATAAGCTATTACAAGATTTCTCGCAGCTGGTATCAGTCGCTGGCTGGTGGGGCGGGTTCCCGGGCTAGAAGGACCAGGGGTCGATTGCAGTCAGGAAATCCCTTTGCTCTGCGTCTCGGGCGGATTCTTGCACCAGCCGGGTCAGGCTGGGCCTCGCTCTTGCTCTTGCAGCATCTCTGGTCCGGCACTCCGTAGAGCACGCATCCCATGTGTTCCCACTTCTTGTTATAACTCAGTCTCTCAGAGCTGCAATTCGGCCTTTTTTTCCATCTCATCTTTTTGTCTGCTGCTTATTATGTAAATAGCTGATACGGCCCCGTAATGGGAACGTTGCCTCTCGGCATGTGAAAGGCTGTAATCATCTCATTACCAGGCAAAAAGGAAGAGGAGCTGCGTTTCAGGCTGTGTTTCTCTTCCCCAGCAGCACGTGCAAATGTTGCTCTTGGAACAGTTGCCTTCCTGCTTGACCCTTGGCCACGGGGTCTTTGCCAGCACCTCCCTCCATGCCATCGACTCAAACTGGTTTGATTTACATAGCTGAAAAGCAAAAGGCAGACAGGCAGGCTGCTTCCATCTGGGCTGGTTGAGAACAGCAGCGTTGGCTGCTGCTTTCTGTTTTTTTAATTAGACCCAAAAAGTCCGAAATAGGATGGGGTGTGCGTTGTCTCTGCCCCATCCGGACAGATTGAGAACCACTCCTCTGTGGGACCTCGGTATGCCCAAGCCCACTGCTCTTGTGCGCTCTGGAAACCCATGTCTCAAGCCTGGTGTGAGGGCGTCTCATCACCGCATTTCTGAGGTTGTCACCCACAAAGTGGGCTTTAGTGGCTGAGGCTTATTTCTTGGCGGTGTCCAGGCTACAGGCAGCCACAGTCATAGAGGGACAACTAACTATTCCAACTGGGTTCAAGATACTTGGGGAAAGATTATGAATGCAGGTATCGGACTGACTTGACAGGATGCTGTACCCAGCAAAGGGCTGTTGCCCAAAGCCAGGTATCTGTGGATCATTTTTTTGGCTCTGTTCGGACGCTTCTTATGGCAGACGGTGCTATTTGTTGCGCTCTATCCCGCAGACAGTCAGTACCCAACAGAGATCCAGGAGGTCTTCTGTGGTGACTCTGCCACCTCTGGGATGGGAATTTGTACATCTTTTAACAATAGTAATTTAAGGCAACACATGGAAAAATGAAACTACCTGGATGAAACTCCAGGGAATGCTTATGGGGAAGGACCATAGCAGTATGAGATTCTGGGGCTGGTCCCTGCTCTAGTGAAAAGCTGCGTGGATTTAATTCCCAGAGTTTCAGGCTCCCTTGTCACCTGCAAAGAGTGTATCCCAGCTCTTCTGCACGGTGTTTAAACAGGGTCCAGTGCCATGCAGGTAGATTTTGCTTGCTGGAACACATCCTTTAAACATAGACTAGGGAAGCAAACCCGATGGCATGAGAAAGTTGCTTAGAAACTCACCTCTTGTTTCTGGTTTTGCTCTCCATAACCTCATCGCACTTTTGATATCTAATCTAAGAGGGGCGACATCCAGATCAGTCACCTAGCCCTAAAGTGGAATAAGGTGCCTATATCCTGTCGAGGTCCCCGGCAACCCACAACTGATTAGCACCCACATTCAGTTCAGCACATTGCATTCTTGGATTGCATCAACGCTTAGGTGCCTAAACTGGTGCTACACCCAGACTGCTTATGCATTTTCTATTAGACAGTTATTGGATAAAAAGCCACATGAAAAAAAAGGCTGGAAATAGTGACCAGAACCCAGGCAAAAATTTGGGTTCATTGCTGCTAGCAGAGCAGGTGCAGAGACCCTGCTTGAGAGCATGTTGCAAGCAGACCAGCCTGGTGCAGGTGGGAGAGGTGATTGTGAAGCAGGAGTTTCAGCGTGTCGCTTGCCAAACCAGTCTGCAGAATAGTTTTTTAATCACACAGTTCTCTATGAAAATGCTCAGGCTTCAGGACTGGTCTGGAAATACACTGGAAAGGTGTCTGATAAACTCCTGGCTGTTTCTTGCCCGCCCCTGTAACAAGCAGTCCTGTATAAAGGACAAGGTCTCTGATAACATGCTTTTTTTTCTTTTGTTCTAGTCACCGAAGGAGGCAATGCGGTCTTATTAACTACACTGTGGCTACGTCTACACGAGACGCTTACTGCATTGTAGCTCGTCACCAGGAAGCCATGCGGGGACGCTACTGCGCAGTAGCACCAGTCACTGCGTAGGCATTTAGTACTTCGGTATGCAAGTACTAAATGACTGCTCAGTAACAATTATACAGTCATCGTCTCTTGTAGACACAGCCTGCGGGTCTGATTTCCCAGCCTCGGCTCTCTTTGGGCACTTATACACATGCAGGAGGTGAGGGGGGTGCTTTAATTTAAAGCTTTAATTTAAAGCTCCCAGAGTGTCACGTGTATCAGCGTTCCCGTGCCGAAAAATGGCGTGTCCCCACGCCGAAAAATGGCGGCAGGGGCACTTTAACTAAAGCTTGTTGAAGCACCCCTGCCGCCGTTTGTCAGCACAGACACTGATACACATGACGCTGGGGTCTGCTGGAGCGGGATAATTACCACGATTAATCGAGTCTGCTCTGACGTGCTGTTATTGCACGTGTATAGGCGCCCTCTGGCACAGAGCCGTAAGTGATGTTGGTGCTCGGGTTTCCCCCGTGCTAAGGAGGCGTAGGAACACTTTGGTTTACACAATTGTTGTAGATTAATTCTGGCATGTGTAGTCCCTGCACTGGAGAACTCCAGACCGACTTCAAATGGTCAAATCCAGGTGGAGTCGAATTCAAGTACGCCTGTTCATTTTTCAGTGTCAGTTGCCATTAAGCAGCGGCCCATTCAATACTAACAGCAAGACACTGCTCAGCTATCCCAAGCAGCACTCGACACAGGCACACTTTCAATCAAGTGCTGTATATGGAAATCCTGCCTCTCGCCTGCGCTCTGCCTTTGACCTTTCTCTTTGAGGAGCTGCTAAACAGAGCTGGAAGGCCTGGCTCTGAGCTCAAAACTAACCACGTCACAAAGGGCTTTGGCGCTGCACTTTTCGTTAGACCTCCACTTGTGGAAGTGGTCTGGGTTGGATCACTCGGGCTGTCGAGGCATTGAACTGTTTTGGCAGGAGACGTGGCTTTGTAGCAACGCACACAGGTAATTTGCAGGGGGGAGCTAGCCCACTCCTGCCTTCCTTGCATATCCACAGCTTGCATTTGCTTGGAGAATTGCAGCTAAGCAGAAGATAACGGCTCAACATTCAGGAGCTATGGATGGACCAGGAGTGCTGTCTGGACTTGGGTCGTGGGGGGCTGAGAACAGAGGCTTGAGTGCATTGTCAGGCAGGTTGGAAGTACAGCAGATGGGGATTTCTGGTGGCGGGATGCATACTTCGATCACGGCGATGCAGAGGCTCAGAAACAGAGAAACCCTGGCCCGTTTTTTCTGCTTGAATCTGCAACGCGCTTATTTTTCTGGTTCTCATTTACTTGGTCGGTCGTCTCCTTCGAAGCGTTGTTTCAACTGCACAATGATGTGGATTCGGATTTGAGCGTCTTGTGTCACAGCAAACCCCAGACCTTCTAGACATACAAGCCCGTTGCCCCACGTAAAGTACCCACAAAGCATCCGAATTAACACTTTGCCTCGGAACGACCGCAGCTAATTAGAGTTAACTGCCATTTAAGCCTCGTGTGTTTTGATGCGAGTCATATATCCCAGACCAATCAGCACCGGATTAAATCTGTTTTTAACCTGAGCATGCTGCTCTTTGGATCAGCATGTCTGACTCTCATTGGTTTGGGTCACAGGCAAAATAAAGGTTGAGTCTGAAGGTAGAAAACCCACCAGATTGGGACTTGAGGGTTCAGGGAAGCTGGAAATAGCAGTAAGGCTATGCTTTCACCTGTGTCTGTGGCTCTGGATGTGATGTTGGTGATCCATTTTAAAAGGGATGTTGAAATATTATGGGGGACATAGAAAAGAAACTCTTCAAGGGATAAAGCAAATGCCGGACGGCGGGAGACTTAAGCTTAGCTTGTTTTTTTCCTTTAATGAGAAAGAAGAGGTAACTTAATGGTTTATAAAGCCAATACCAGGTGGTCAAATCTCCTTTAATATAGTAGAGAAAGGCTGATGAAGGACTCCTGGGCTGGAAGCTGAAGTGCTTCATCTTCCTGAAGTCCTTCATCTTCATAAGATGTACAGTTTTTCCTGACGTGCCCATTTTCATTTGTCGTCTGTCATTTCTATTTCTATGTGGTATCATCATGCTGGAAGACTTTGTGCCTCCATCAGCATCCTAGGAATTGTATTTCCAGTGAATTACTGCTTAGAAACAGCAGAGGAAGCCCCAAATGTTGCGTTTAGGTAGGTCCCACAAAAATAGGGTCAACAGGTGTTTTCACGCGGTGGCAAATGTTCAGTTTGTCTGTATGAAACCAGAGAACAAGACAAGCATGAATGGGGGCGGGGAGGGAGATTTTTTGATCTTCATATATTCTTGACAAACTGCCTTCATTTATAAATCAAACAAAGACCTCATGCTTTTGGTGAAGCAGATGCAGATCCATTCGGTTTGTCAGGCTGTGCTAGATCCCTGAGACCGTGGATCAATTGCCTCCTTACAGCTGGGCTGGCACAGAGCCCTTCGTTACTGTGGCATTAACGATTAACCTACTAAATCACAGTTAGACCAAGACTTTTATAGCCGCAGTGCAGTTAACTGTTCAGCTGCTTATCTGGCGCTTGTCTTCAAATGGCTGTAGACTTTGCCAGCTAATTAGTATACTCAGACCCACTTCTTCCAAGCTTTACTGTCTTATCAATATTATTCTTTCGGTGGCACCTACAAGTCCCAGCTGAAACCCGAGTTCTCTTTTGCCTGGATGTGCACAAATACAGAGAGAGGCAATTCCTGCCTTGCAGCGTTTACCAGCTGATTGACCAGGGCTTGGAGGAAGGAAAGCTTTAGTCAAGGGTAAAAGATGTAATATTATCATCTTCCATTTGCCAGTGCAGAATGTGGAAAATCTGTGGTGAAGGTAAAAATTAACCACGAGAAAATAGTCCCTCTCGAGTTACTGCACCCAGTTTTGGGCCCCGCAGTATTGAAAGGATGTGGATAAATTGGAGGGCAATAAAAATGGGATGGGGGTTGGGAACATGACTTATGAAGAGAGGCCGAGGGAACTGGGCTGATTGAGTCTGCACAAGAGAAGACGGAGGGGGATTGACTAGCAGCCTTCACCTCCCTGCAGGGGGGCTGCAAAGAGGATGGAGCTGGGCTGTTCTCAGTGGGGGCAGATGACAGGACAAGGAGCAATGGGCTTAAGCTGCAGCAAGGGAAGTTGAGGTTGGATATTAGGAAAAACTTTCTCACTAGGAGGCTGGTGAAGCACTGGAGCAGGTTACCCAGAGAGGTGGTGGAGTCTCCATCCTTGGAGGTTTTTAAGACCCGGATAGACAAAGCCTTGGCTGGGATGATGGAGTTGGGGCTGGTCCTGCTTGGAGCAAGGGGTTGGACTGGGTGTGACCTCCTGAGCTCCCTTCCACCCTAATATTCTGTGAGTCTGTGAGAAGTTTTTTCTTCTTTATAAAGCAACCACCCTACCTATTACTCTGGCTCATGTATTCCCAAAGAGAATAAAAGGGTATTCTCTTTGGGAATACATGACCTTTAATAAAAGCGGAAAGAATCCCTTTGTCTGGTTGGATTACAGTCCTATAGGCATCCCAGTAAATCTTGTGAAAGAGCTTGCAGACCCCCAATTAACTGTCTAATGTTGTGATGTAAAAAAGGTGACTTCAATACAGCGATTCTCAACCACAGCTCTGCGCCTGTCAGGAGCTGTACAATATTAGCACTGTTAGGTGTGCAAACACCTACTTATGATTCATAAGCGATTTCAACGGGGAATTCGTAATGTCCAAACATCCTGATCTGTTGTGGTCGTGGAGTTCTTTGCAATGGGAGAATGGCTCTGCTGTATTTCCAGAGTCAAACAACACCCCTCCCCTCCCAAAAATGAATGCTATGGCTGGTATTTTCCAGGGGATGCTTGGAATTGAATGAAGTTGAGACCCTCTGCTCCAGGAACATCATACCAACTGAATAATAGAGCTGCCCTTCTGTTCGGGAACGGCATGCTCAGGGGCAACCAGCACGGGTTCATCAGCGGCAGGTCCTGTCAGACCAACCTGGTGGCCTTTTACGACCAGGTCACTAAATCATTGGATGCAGGGGTGGCAGTGGATATAGTTTTCCTAGACTTCAGGAAGGCTTTTGATACTGTCTCTCACCCCATTCTCATTAGGAAGCTGGGGGACTGTGGCGTAGACACCCATACAGTCCAATGGGTCGCCAACTGGTTAGAGAGTCGCACCCAGAGGGTGGTAGTGGATGGGTCCTTCTCGACCTGGAAGGACGTGGGAAGTGGGGTCCCACAGGGCTCGGTCCTTGGGCCCGCCCTGTTCAACATCTTCATCAGTGATTTGGATGAGGGGGTGCAAAGCACCCTGTTCAAGTTTGCTGATGACACTAAGATGTGGGGGGATGTGGGCACAATAGAGGGGAGCAACAGGCTACAGTTGGACCTAGACAGGTTACAAGGATGGGCGGAGGAGAACAGGATGGGGTTTAACACAGACAAGTGTAAGGTGATGCACCTGGGGAGGAACAATCGGCACCATACATACAGGCTGGGGAACTCCCCTCTTGTCAGCACGGAGGTGGAAAAGGATCTGGGAGTCATTATTGACTCCAAGATGAACATGAGTCGGCAATGTGGGGAGGCGGCTAGGAAGGCCAACTGCACCTTGTCGTGCATCCACAGATGCATCTCGAGCAGGTCCAAGGAGGTGATCCTCCCCCTCTATGCGGCACTGGTCAGGCCGCAGCTGGAGTACTGCGTCCAGTTCTGGGCGCCGCACTTTAAGAGGGATGTGGACAGCATCGAGAGGGTCCAGAGGAGGGCCACTCGTATGATCAAGGGACAGCAGGGTAGGTCCTATGAGGAAAGGTTGCGGGACCTGAACCTGTTCAGCCTTCAAAAGAGAAGGCTGAGGGGGGATCTTGTGGCCTGTTATAAACTGGTTAGGGGGGATCAGCAGGCGCTGGGGGAGTCCCTGTTCCCCCGAGCGCCGCAAGGAGTGACCAGGAACAATGGTCACAAGCTGGCGGAGGGAAGGTTTAAGTTGGACATCAGGAGGCGCTACTTCACGGTCAGGGCGGCTAGGGTCTGGAACCAGCTTCCAAGTGAGGTGGTGCAGGCTCCCACCCTGGGGGTTTTTAAGAGGAGGTTGGATGACCACCTTATTGGGGTCATTTGACCCCAGTGCTCTTCCTGCCATGGCAGGGGGTCGGACTAGATGATCTGCTCAGGTCCCTTCCGACCCTAGAAACTATGAAACTATGCCTGGGCTGAGTCTCTCCCAACATTATATATTCTTTAGATAACTTCAAGAACGGGGCAATCTAGACAAAGAACTTGAAGGCAAAATGTTTATGGGTTTAAATGGGTCCCCACCACCTCTCATTTAAATCCAGGGGGTCCAGCATGGCGTAATTCCACGTTTCCACTCTTGGAAATGTACGGCCTTAGTAAGCATAGTCCTTCTGGAAGCTGAGATAACAAGTTGAATCAGGATGACCTTGTGCTGAAGGCACCTGGGCAGATATATTTCAAATCTAGCGGCTTTAAAGAGGAGACTAGGTTAAGGTGGGCAGGAAGGGTGGTCTTTTGATTAAGCCCCCTGTCACGGGGGCACTCGGGTGCCCCGTGCCGAAATAGGGATTAGGGCCTCTGCTAATTGCCAGGGCAGCTCAGGTACGGGTTGCTAGAGCACCCAGGTTGGTCAGGTGACCAGAAGGGGGCAGGGCTGGGCCCTTATAAACAGCCAGACCAGAGCCTGGCTAGCAGTTCCCTTATGGCAGCTTGAGGGGTAAGAGCTCTGCAGGAGGGCTAAGCTGAGCAGTGCAGTCTGAGCACCCAGAGGGCTGCATGATGGTGAAGGTGGAGAGAAGCCTGACTAGGAGGCTTTGGCCAGAGAGCTAGGAGGGCCTGGACTTTATGTGCTAGCTGGTAGGCTTATGGTTTTGTTACAGCCGGTTGGCTTGTAGTTCCATTGTGTATATTAAACCGGAGGACCGGGTGAGGCTGTAGGGGCGTGAGGAGGCCTCACGGGAGCTCCCCAGTAGTCTGGAGGGTCCTGGGTGCCCTGTTTGGGGCACACAGCAGTGCCTGAAGGTACAGTAGCTTGGCACCAGGGTGGTGCAGTGTGTGGGGTTGAGACCCCAGCCCGAGAGGGCAGTACTTGGCCCAGTGAGGGCATAGGACCCCGAGAAGGGTCAGGGGGCCAGGCATGGCTGCGTGCCACCTGAGCCCCGGTACCGGTGAAAGCCTGAGACAGGGCTGGCGTGTAGGCTCGGAGAGAGCCAAGGGCGCAAGTGGCGTGTGGCGTAGACTCGGAGAGAGCCAAGGGCGCGAGAGTGAAGCCCAGGGAGGGCTAGCATAAGATTGGAGCGGCACCAGTCTTGTATAGACGCCCTGGGGGAGGGCGAGCATGCGGTTAAGAGTCCCGGAGAGGGGCAGGCATGCGAGGGAAGCCTGGAGAGGGGTGGACATGCGGATCGGGGCCAGGTGGCAAAGAGCGCGGGAACAGGAGCCCGGCGAGGGCAATAGCGCCAGGGCGCGGGACAGAGCCCACAGCAGGGCAATAGTGCCAGGGGCGCGGGAAGCGTGGATAACGCCCGTAGAAGGGCGAGTACACCCGGGAACCCCGAGAAGGGCAGGGGCCAGCGTGGGAACCAAAGTAGGGCGGGTGCCGGTGAAGGCCTGAGACAGGGCTGGTGCCATTAATTGCCCAAAGGAGGGTGATCACGCAGGTACGAGCCTGGAGAGGACCGGGTGTGCGAGACAGGGCCCAGAGAGGATAGGACCAGCCCAAAGAGGGTGTAGTTCAGAGACACAAAAAAGTCTGGAATAACTGTGAGCCCTGGGGCGTGCTAAAGGGGAGGTAGGAGGCACGTGTAGCCCATAAGGCTGGGGGTGCACCAAGTCACCCATAGAGATCAGGAGATGAAAGGCAGCCTCCTATATAAAACTATATAAGATCAAAGACGTGGCAGGTGAGAATAAGAGGGTGCTGGATCTCCTAATTGGCACGGCAAGGGGGCGCTAGCGGGATCACGGCCGCTCCTAGGCCCCACTCCGTGACACCCCCGGACAGGGATTGAGGAGACGTTGGTTCAGTTCTTGTCTCTGCCACTGGCTCGAGGTGTGATCCTGGGGCCTCTGTGCCTTAAGCTGAATGAGGACAATAATGCTTGCCTCTACCCTGTGTGCCCCAGCTCAGTTGTACCCCAGACC